ACACACACACACACACACACACACATCAGTACTAGTAATTTAAAATGTACATAATTTCTATTTGTTAAATGCCCAGATAGTGAGAGATAATTTTTCATTAATTTTTAAGTGAACAAATTTACATACACAATATTACTATAATTGAAATAAACTATCAACTCATACTTAAAATCTAAAAAGTTTGCTAATTAATTATTGTTTTTCCCTACTTCTGCTGTTGTTTACTCTGATTTAAATACTTTTAAGAAGAAAATTTTGGCATCCAAAGATTATTTTCTTTAAATTCTCCCTTAAGAGGTGATAAACAACCTCCTACGCATTCTGTAATCCTCTTACTGGAAAATAAAGTTATGGGAAGAAAAAACGTAAAGAGCTACTTAAAGGAGAAACCTGTCTGAAAGTCACCAGATCGTGTCTTTAGGACGGGTGAGATAAACAACAAGATATAAAGATTTATCTGATTTATGTCCAGATAATTAATCTAAAATGGGAAATATTCTTACTTTCACTCAAACTGAAAATCAGATGGATACATTTGGATTTCAGATACTTGATGAGAACTCAAACACATGATCTGGAAAATCTAAATCTGATGGACGCATAACGAGGATCATTAAAAACACAAATATCCCCTCTGATCCTGCGAGTAAATCTGTTTATTGTTCAACGTGTTCACCAAGAAAGGAGTGCTGGTCCCCCAGCTTCCTCCAGGATTACACCCCCCTCCTCCCCCCCTGCTTAGAACCGGTATAAATTCTCCAGACGCGCTGCGCTCCGCTCAGATTTTACGCACGCTGCCTGGTGTCCTGTTGCGCGCGGACAGAGCTGGGAAAGCGATTCGTCTTCTAGGTGAGAGGAAAGAGGACAGTGTCTTTATTTAAATATTACACCCGGAAGCAGGAGGACATAACGGGAGGATGCTGGTGAGCGCAGCGCCGTTCATGAAGCCGCTCCACATGCGCTCTCCGGGGCCCAGCGGCCGCCGCCACACGCTCCCGGCCAGCGAGTTCCGCTCCCTGAGCCCGGAGGACGCCATCAGCGTGTTCGAGATCGAGAGGGAAGGTAAGAGAGCTGAACAACGCTTGTATCTGAATGCGTACTCCTCTTGGCACAAATTACGCACACGCCGCCTTCCCCCTGCAGCCTTCATCTCAGTGTCCGGCGAGTGCCCCCTCCACCTGGACGAGGTGCGTCACTTCCTCACGCTGTGTCCCGAGCTGTCACTTGGCTGGTTCGAGGAGGGCCGACTGGTGGCCTTCATCATCGGCTCCCTGTGGGACCAGGAGAGGCTTAACTTGGTAAGAGAGAGCACACCTGGACCGGGGACTAATTAGCCCCATCCGGCTGAGTGGCGTGGAAAAAAGGCAAGGAGGGGTTCGAACAGATTAATTACAGAGGTTTAGGTGCTTATTTATGGAGTGGAAACACATTGGGATGATGGGTCCAAATGGTTCTGAGGCAGGCTGATAGAAGACTTCCTGAAGAAAATGTCAAATGAAGAGGACAGATCCAGACAGTTTGTTTCTGATGAGACTAACTTCATGAGGTCAAACACAAAATAAGCTGCAGCAGAATTTGAATAGTTTTACAAACTTTAAAGGGACACATAAGCCTTTTGAAAGGCATTTGTGTAAAAAAAAAAAAAAAAGAAACGGCATCTTACCTGCTGCAGATAAAGTAGCAAGGTACTATTTTATCATTATCAACATAACTGGAGAATAAAACCCACTTTTTAACGGAGTTATATAAAGTACCACAAAGTGACACTTGAGTAAAAGTACAAGTATCTTACCAAAACATTACTCTGGTAAAAGTTAAAGTCTCCTTTAGGAATATTACTTGAGTAAAAGTATCTGATATTTTTTGTACTTAAGTATYAAAAGTAAAAGTATTGATTTAAAATGAGCAGTTAGATTTTCTGTAAGGACATTTATTAGGAGGTGACCTCCCCAAAAACTGCAGAAATGACTATATTGTATTAAAATAGTTAATGTTAAATTTAGGATACAATAGTTTAGCTGTTTCAGTTTACATATATCAAGGCTGCCCAAACATTTTCTCCAAAATAAAAATCTATCATGGGGCTGCGGCCAAATGCAATTGTATAATTCATGAAATACAAATACTTCTTAAGTACAGTACTTTTACTTGAATGATTATGTCCTGCTGGAGTGTGACATGATTTGTTTGTGTACAAACTTAATAGAGTATCAGAATTTTATATATTTATACTTCTCATTCAACCACAATTAAATTCACTCTATCTAGGAGGCACAGTTTATATGGATAGTTGTATTTATTTTTTACAATAACAAGCTGGAATGAAAACAAGCAAAAATGAAACAACTTCCTGCTTATTGCCTTTTTTAAACATGTAAGGAGTTGAAAGTACAAATAATTGTGTTAAAATGTAAGAAGTAGAAGTAAAAAGTAGGCTGAAAAATAATTACTCAAGTAAAGTACAGATACCCAAAAATTCTACTTAAGTACAGTAACAAAGTATTTGTACTCAGTTACTTTACAACTCTGCTTTTTAAGTGGGTTCTGTTTCATTTAAATCTACATTTCTATTAAGTGTATCATAAACCTTTTGATTCTGCATTACCTTTGCATGAAATTTTCATAAAATTTATCTCATCATTACAGTTCAGAATCTCTCTGATTAGTAAAACTTGGTTAATTTATATATATATATTCTCTGTCCTCCAGGATGCGATGACCCTCCATAAAACCCGCGGAACCACGGTCCACATCCACGTCCTGGCCGTCCACCGGACCTTCCGCCAGCAGGGAAAAGGCTCCATCCTGATGTGGCGCTATCTGCAGTACCTCCGCTGCCTGCCCTACGTGCGCCGCGCCGTCCTAATGTGCGAGGACTTCCTGGTTCCCTTCTACCAGAAGTTGGAGTTCAAGGTGCTGGGCCCCACCGACATCACCGTGGGGCCCCTCCGCTTCATCGAGATGTCCTACCCAGTCAGGGGCCACGCCTTCATGCGTCGCAACAGTGGCTGTTGAGGCCAGAGACCTGGAGTCCTTTAGTTCACAGAACTGTGCGGAGGCAGGAAAAAGGGAGGCCGCGTGGCGTTCGTGTTCACCACTGAGGCTGAAACAGAGAAACTGAAAATGTGGAGTCTCAGACTGAAAACACGACATGATTTGTGTTTCAGAAGTGCATCGTTAACTCTGTTTAACATTTCAAAAGTTTCACATTTTGTAAATAACTCTCCAGTATCTGTACAAAGTGTTTGCCAAAGTAAACCAATGATGAAATGAAATCATGAAGACTTAATGTCAGTGTTAGCTGATTAAAACGTCATGTTAAATCAATAGGATCTGTGCTGTAAACACCTCTTTGTGTCGTACTTTAGATCCCAGTTCAATGTGACATCAAAATATTTTTGTCTTGTAGGTTGTCACCACTTTTGCCTACTCAGGTCTTAAATTGAGACTTTTATTTGTACTTTTGCTCTTGAAGTAATAAAGATTTTATTTTTCTAAACTTTCTGCTTTTATTGACAAATATTTCTTCTGGAGCTTTTGGCAGTGGCAGATCTAGGATTTTTCTGAGTAAGGGGCAATCAAGGGGCCACAATATTCAGAGGGGCCAAGTCTTTGTTCACCATCCTTGCACATAAATCCTTGGTTTTGTTAAGGTGTATAAATTTAACTGGTCACATATGTACCAACAATTGTAATGTAGTGTTATTAAAAAAGCTTAGATTATCAATGTTACAGGCATTTTTACTGTACATGGATAAAATATTCTCAAAGCATGTGAGAAAATGAAGATATTTTTTGTAAAATTGTCTTTTAAAGAAGAAAAGAAGACTTCTGTAAGATTGATTCATGTTGGACTTTACTGTTTGGCTCATTAGCGCCTCTAGTGTTTGGACATGGGACTGCACCCAAGGACAGATGAGTGATAGGACAGGAGCACTTCAGGGGGCCAATCAGATTTTAGCAGGGGCTGATGCCCCAGTGCCCTCGCTCCTAGAACTGTCCTTGGCTTTTGGGTACTTTTCAGTAGTTGTGGAAGTGATGAACCAACCTCAGAATGGAGATTAGTTAGACTAAGAATAACTTAGTCTAAGTTATTCAAGATCAACGTGGATTGTTGCCTTAAAATATCTCCAATCTCCAGAATTTCAGAGGTGTTCATGTTTGTGCTATGTTCTAAACAGGGTTGTCCAATCCTGGTTCTTCAAGGCACTATCCACTTTTTTTCACAAAACATCCCTTTAAATGACCTTATTTCCAAACCTTTCAGCTTTTGACCCACAAAATAACAGTAGCAACTGTGACCCCTGGTATTTCTGGTTGACAAACATTGGTATCAGGTCAAATAAACAAAAGCATAGTAACAATATTCATTGTGATACTTTAATCCATTTTAAATACTCTAACTACACTCTTGTAACAACAAAGGCAAAAAAAATGTTAGTCATTTTAAATGTATTTAATTCTGAAAGTCTTGTCAAGATCCCACAGTGATGTTTTGGGACCCTTCTGTGGGTCCCGACCCAAACATTTGGAACCACTGTTCTATAAGCACAATATCTCCCTTTACCCAAGAATCAAAACCAGCAGCTCCAGATCTTCAAAGATGAGAAAATGTCAGTGTTTATAGTGTATTTATTTCAAAAATCACTGCTTCAATTTGCATTATTTTCTAAAACAGAACCAACAATCATTAACTTGGCCATTTATTTAAGTTTATCTGAAACTTTTCCCTTTTTTCACCCAATAAATAAAACAAAAGTGGAACTTTTGGTCCAGACAGACACAGTGGTGTAGCTGCAGACGACAGTGCGCTGTTGTGATTCAGCTCAATCTTTCACATACATCATAGAAGGCACAGCGAGATTTCTTTTTTCATTTAAAAATCCTATTTAAACAAGTTTTCAAACAACTTGTTTTCCTGTAAATCAACCCCCCTGACAAACCCCCCGTAATCTCACTCAAGTAACTAAACACATAATCCTCCATGAAACTTTTGTGTGGCTTTTTAAGCCGCTGGTGGGGTTGCAGGGTCGAGGGGGGCACATACCAAAACACTAAATAACAACTAAAATGAAATATGTGAGAAACGTTTCTACCGTTCCAAGGGTCACATTGTCAGGGAGCGCCTAAAAACAGCAACATGGAAGGTTTATTTTCATGGCGCAAGAAAAGAAAGATGGGGTACAAAAAAAAGATACCTGAAAATACAGTACAAAACCTGATTTGATAAAGGTCTCCTAAAATAATGTTTCATAAAGTGTAGACAGTCACACCGACAAACAAAATGACACATTTAAAGGATAATAAAGTTTGCAGCAGATGAAAACAGGAATTTTTTTAAGCATTTAAAAAAAAATCAAGTCAAGTCGCTTTGGTCGGGTCGGGCCACAAAATATGTTTGGCTTTAACTCACAAAGTTTATCAAAAGCAGTTCAAACAAATACGTGGAGGCATCTCTGTGAAACGGCATAGTGTGTTTAAGGCAGCCAGTGGTTCAGATCTTAGCTGACCGCTGATCTTTTTTTTTTTTAAAGTAACCCAGCTGCGCGGTTACAGGAATACATGGGATGGTGTTAATGTTTACATGATGTGTGCATCCGTGCAATGAGAAAAAGATAAACAAACTAAACCATTTTTAAAACGGGTCTCAGTGTTTGAAGAAGCAGCAGAACAAATCGTCTTTGTAGTAGTACTGATGGGAAGCATCTGATGCCTGTTTACTGACTCACAGCTGATTAATACCTGCAGACTTAAAGGGAAAACGACTGGGGGCTGGAGGTGTTTGTGTGTTTATCGGTGAGTAAACTTCTGGATTGATTTGTTTGTCTTTGTTCTTCTAAAGGATTCTTTAAAAGACTGGTTTTAGTTGTGGAAATGATAACAATCATGATTGTCAAATACTTGAAAGCAACAGATGAACCTGGAATAATTAATTCCCCTCAGAGGTTGCAGCAGAGCAGGACGTTATCCTCCGCCTGAAGACTAGTGCACCACATCGGCAATGTCATGGTCTATGTCGTACTTCTCACAAAACTTGCTCGTGAAGGGCAGGCAGGTGAGGTGCTCCAGCCAGTGCAGGTTGATGGGGTAGATGTAAAACCAAACGATGAGCGAGGAGAACAGCCCCACGTAGGCCAGCAGGGACACGACGATGARGATGCGCTTGCGGTATTTGTCGAAGGTCCCGAAGGTGACGTAGGGCAGGATGCCGAAGGAGAGCAGAAGGCCGCTGAGGAAGCCGAAGATGTGGGCGATGTTGTCGATCCACGGCAGGAGGCCACACAGGAAGAGGAAGAAGACGATGCCCACCAGTTTGAGGAGGGCTTTCCACGGCTTTTCCARCATCTGCCAGCCTTGAATAAGCTCAACAAAGAGGCAGGCGAGGAGTCCGAACTGAGAGCCTGCTGGACCCACCTGGAGGAGAGCATGAGAAAGAGTCAAATGAAATATATTTTTCCTGTTTACAGCTGCTACAGATGAATGTTCCAGCTCCACGAGCGCACATCGTTAAACAGGAGAGTGTGTTAGCATTAGCATGTTTTAAAAAGACTGGGGACTTGTTCAACCTGTGTTTCTCAAATGGATCAACGTGAACACAAGTTTAATTAGAAGGCAGCTGTGGAAAATCAGAAAATCTGATTAATTACTTTCTGAAAYGTGTTCTCAGAACAATTTAACAAGTAAAAGAAGAGATTTCGTATTTTATGACCAATTAGTCATAAAGGTAAAACTGAGTCAGGTCTGAAAAAAGTTTTGGCTGAGTCCTCTGGGTCTGCAAGGATAACATTTATGGGTACTTTATCAATCCAGACTTAGATTCAGTGTCTTAGTTATAGATGTYTCTGGTGTTGAATGCAGTATGGGTCGTCTGAGAGGAAATGTGAGCAGATTAAGTGGCGTTAACACAGAGTTCGGAGGGTTGGCTCGGTCAAAGGCAGGTGGCTAATCTGCCAACACTTTAAACTTTGGCACCACAGAAACACCACGGCACTCCACACATGCCTCAGACACACCCACATGCCTCAGACACACACACACATGCCTCAGACACACCCACATGCCTCAGACACACACACACATGCCTCAGACACACCCACATGCCTCAGACACACACACACACATGCCTCAGACACACACACACACGAGCAGAAGTCACAGACTGTGGTGGATAAGACTGGAGCAGATGATTAAGGATGAGGGAAAGAAGGAAGAAGCATCACTGTTCACAGAAGAGCTGTACATAGATTTTAGTCTAAGTAAATGGACTGTACTGTACTTATGTAGCGCTTTTCTATCCATTCAGGACACTCAAAGCGCTTTACACTACAATCTGTGCCCTCATTTACCCATTTACACAACACTCTACAGGTCCTTCTCAAAAAATTAGCATATTGTGATAAAGTTCATTATTTTCTGTAATGCACTGATAAACATTAAACTTTCATATATTTTAGATTCATTGCCCACCAACTGAAGTAGTTCAAGCCTTTTATTGTTTTAATATTGATGATTTTGGCAAAAAAAAGTAAAGAAGAATCAAAAATCCCTCTCAAAAACTTAGCATATTTCTTCCGACCAATAAAAGAAAAGTGTTTTTAATACAAAAAAAAAGTCAACCTAATTATGTTCAGTTATGCACTCAATACTTGGTGGGGAATCCTTCTGCAGAAAAGACTGCTTCAATGTGGCGTGGCATGGAGGCAATCAGCCTGTGGCACTGCTGAGGTGTTGTGGAGGCCCAGGATGCTTCGATAGAGGCCTTAAACTCATCCAGAGTGTTGGGTCTTGTGTCTTTCAACTTTCTCTTCACAACATCCCACAGATTCTCTCTGGGGTTCTTGGCAGGCCAATTGAGCCCAGTAATACCATGGTCAGTAAACCATTTACCAGTAGTTTTGGCACTGTGAGCAGGTGCCAGGTCGTGCTGAAAAATTAAATCTTCATCTCCATAAAGTTTTTCAGCAGATGGAAGCATGAAGTGCTCCAACATCTCCTGACAGCTGCATTGACCCTGGCCTTGATAAAACACAGTGGACCAACACCAGCAGCTGACATGGCACCCCAGACCACTGACAACTGTTGTCGTTGTGCAGCGTTTTCTGCCACACTTTTTCCTTCCCACAGAGGTGCCTTGATACAGCACTCCAACTGAGACAGCTGGACGGGGGGATTCAACCGGCGACCTTCCGGTTCCAGGACGACTCCCTTAGCCACTCTGCCACAGCCGCTCCTTTCTATTTATTTATTTATTTATTTATTTATTTAACTAATTAAGTCATTTATAAGTGTGCAACACGTCACAAAACAAAGTCATTTATTAATTTTCTTGATGAAATGTGACAAAAATGTATCATTGTGCTTGTCCTATCAACTTGGAGGTTTTATTTTGAAACAAACAATTCAAAGCAGAGACAGAAACTCTGCTTTTGATGATGAAAATGATATTTCCACCTATATGTAGGTGAGTTTGAGYGGTGCAGCTTTGCCTTTTCAGACAAACAGAATGTCCTCTCCAGTTTAATTCCTCCTGGCAAGAGTCACGACTATAATCTCCCCTTGCAAGCAGCCTTTTCCCACACGAGGTTGCTAAACATGTTTTTTTAAATGAAAACAGAACACTAATGATGACTTCTTAGCATAAAATAAAACCTAAAYTTAGCATATTTTTGTCAAAATCTCAGGATGATTTTGAAAGCTCACAGCGGTCTACGTTTTTACTGAATTCAAGCATTAAATGTAATTTAAATCCTTGGTGTTAGGGTCAATTTGGACAAAAATATACAATATTCAATTGAGGCTAATTGAGAAGTTGCAAAAACTGCAATTTTTTACTTAAAATTTTTATAGTAATTCTAATAAATTGAACATAAACTAAAAAGGATGAAGTTGAAAGTTGGATTGTAAATCAAAAATTTTCCTCAGAAAACTCATATATCCCACAATACTGGTAAATATTCTTATACTCTGATTCTGCAATAGATAAAAGTTGCAAAACAATCCTACAATATCCGACTATAAAGACAACATACTTGTGAAAAATTAAAGTGAAGGATTAGAGTCAAAACTCTGAACTCATAATCGGACTTTCTCTTCACTTTTATCTGATATTATTTTGTTCTTATAGAATATTTAAGTTCTGKTTGGGTTTTTGTTCACTCAAGAGTTCAGCTCCATGAAAAGAAGTTGGGAAAGTCAAATCTTGTGTTGCACAAACAAATCACATYATTGTGCCCCATTAAATATTTTGTCCAACCCTTTCAGTAATAAAGTCAAGCTGCTTTACCATCACAGCCTTTAGAGCCACYTCAGCCGGGAGAATTACTCATCCTAAGTGTTGCTGTTTGGGTCATTTTTCTATAAGCCATGAAGGCTCCATGACTTCACACCCACTCAATAATCCTCTTAAAGCAACTCTTTAAGTGGATTGACCRCCGCGTGTCGTGCACTGCATGTGTTTCCTGGGGTTATTTCTGGTAAAGGAAGTGAGATGGTCACTGATGAGAAGTGGAAGGTGACATTTCAGTCCCCAACGTCACTTTTCTAGAATTATCTGTGAAAAGGAACTTCACACGCCAAGTAAAGTTTCTAACTGATTTATACAGATTTGCTGACGATACATTAATACAGTTACTGTCATCATTGAATACTAAAGAGCTCTGTCCATTAAAAAACATGAAATGAGTTGTGTTTATGAGCACATGTAGACCAGAGGAATCACCAGACTATTTGGATTTGTGTTACAATTGTCTTTGCTTAAACAAAAAAATAAAAAATAAAATAATCCCATTCCCTAAGCGTCGAGGCAACGGCTGTTGTTAACTCGCACAGTGGTATTAGGTTAATCTCCTAAAGAGGAAAGTGGGCTTTAAACGACACAAAGCACAAAACAGACCTGTCAGTAAAATCTAGGTAATCCGGACACGTTTTCCCACGGGATCAATGATTTAAAGCACTAAAAAAATAAATAAATGAAAGAAATTGTTAATATCTGTAAAACTCACTGAGATGTTGTCATTTAAATTACGCAAAACTGACTTTTTTTTTAGCTTTATATCATGTTATAATGTCATTCCCTTATCAAAAATACACCCAGAGTGTTGCTTTGACTCATTCATGCATGTTTGCTAAACCAGAGGTTCTCAAATTGGGGTCCCAGGACCCCCAGGGGTCCACGAGAGGTATCTTGGGGGTCCTCAAAAACTGTCACTAAACTGTTAATCTGGTTTTATTTTTAAAAATGAATGGAGAACAATGAACCAATAAAACAAACATAATAAACTTAATAAAAATATATCTTCCCATGGCATTTAGGGGTTGAAATGACGACAAATTATCTTTTAAAACAGCATGGGGTTTATGAGGGGGTCTCTGGAATTTTTTCGCCCTTGTAAGGGGTCCCCAGACACAAATGGCTTGAGAACCCCTGTGCTAAATGCTTGCTGGTACAAAGCTCCACCTATTTACATAAAGCTCCTCCCTAGTGCTCAGTCTGCAGCCGAGGTTCCGCCCCACGCAGCACACTTTTCTAAATCATTGTTGTGAAGACGTGCTGAAGTGGGAGTGTCAGAAACGGCAGGAGGTTCTTAAAGAGACAGAGGCCAATTTCAAGGTGTTTAGATAGACTATGACGCAAATTCAATTTTATGTTTGATATAAGCAGCATTTTCATAACAAATGAAGGTAACAGTTACTTGATTTTGGTATAGAATTGAACTATGTGCCTGTAAAAAAACACAATACCTCCCGTTTAAGGTTGATTAGCTCTTAAATTGGTTTGATTCCAAGAGTTAACCACTGGAGTTCTGTTGAAATCCATCCAGTGCTTCATGACATTTGGACAAATTTTGCTAACAAATAAACAGGAATGACTCCAATAAGTAATGCTAACGTTTTAAAGATTTCACACAATCTGCTTTACACTCCAGGTATGTCTTGAGGATGATGCTCAGCTACTACCACACCAGTTTACTTGGATCTCTTAATGATTCACTCTCCAGTAGCCCTCAAGTTTAAAGCACCTCATTAGAGTAAAATAACTCCARGCAGCTATTAAACAGCTAAATGTGTGCACGTGCATGTWCGAATCCCTTCCCAATGGGAGCTCACCTCAGCTCTGTAGGGCAGGAAAAGGGCCGAGGCCAGGTTACCGGTGATTCCACTGAGGATGTAAATGAGAGAGATGCGAACCCAACCTGCCAGCTTCTCCAGGTCTCTCAGTATGGTCATCTGGAACACCACTGACACCACACAGTGAAAGAGCCTGAACACACACAAACACACACACACACACACACAGAGGGTGACAAACCTGTGCTGTTGGCCTTTCACTCACTGTGTTGAATCAAATATGGGTTTTCACACAGCAGTAAGCTGCTTTGGGCTGTTTGCTGGCTGATTTTAAGAAGGTAAACYTGAGGGATTTCCCTTGTGCCCTGTATTAGCCCAAAGCATTTCACTGTTCACGTGAGTAAACCGTTCAGATATTTCATTTGGTGTGAATCCATCAGAATTTATTCAACTGTGACGACCAATTATTCACAGCAAATTATTCATGTGGCTTATAGCACGTGTCAAACTCAAGGTCCTCGGGCCAAATGTGGCCCGCCACAGAATTCTATGTGGCCAATGAGAGATTTATTTATCTATCTATCTATCCATCTATCTATCCATCCTTTTGAGAACCACTTCTTTACAAACATGACCTGGCATGGCAACATGAGCTTCAAAGATATATTAAGTGTATTCTGCTTTGAGGCTAGCGTTGACCATACAGTAAATCTCCCATAATGCATGTTGATTATTTTACTGCAAAATGACAGCATCCCACCACTAGGTGGAGGTGTGCATGGTTCAAAAGTAGCCGCAGCTGTAGAAATTCAGTGTAAAATTTCAATTTTYCTGCATTTTCGCCGGTTGCTTTTGCTGTAGTTGTACTGGGAAGTGGGAATTTACCACTTACATGTCATAAATTTAAACTGGAACGCCTCTCCAGTGGGAATACTCTGTTGCAAAGTGGGAGAGTTCAGAATTCAAGACAGCAGCTACCACAACTTAACAGTGAGTATAACTGTCTTACTTTTACTTCAAATAGTATTTCTGTATTATTTATTTCACATGTAGTCAGTCATACACATAGTACTTCTCAGTGTTTATAAGAGAACGTGTTAAAACACTGTTTCTATGTAGGAAACACCACATAGAGCTCAGCTATTGTTTGTTAGCAGTGATTATCAGTAGCAATGAGATGAGGAATATGATGTTTTAGTAAAAGTTAATTACAGCTGGCCGTTTGAGAGCAACCATTAAGCTYRTGTGGCCCTCRGTGAAAACTGAAAYRTTTTCATGGTTCAGTTGGGCAATTGAAAGACGTTTGACCTAACTGAAACATCTTGTTCTTAGATAAAGGCTTTAACACTAAATAAAAAATAAACAGATCTGTAAATAAAAGCCTCGATTAGGTTTGACCAAAATGCTTAATGTCATCATGAGTCTTGATTAGTGACTTCACAGAGCTCAGCTACAGATTTTAACCCGTCGACTGCTCTCTAAACGGTTCCACTGTGAACCTAACATCAGCACTGTGTTTAGTCAAATAACTCTTCAGTTCATTATAAACAATCAGCTCTAAAAYAATCAGAGCAAAGAGAAACTCAACACGCTGCACTGTGATAATCCACTCTGATAACATTTGGACAACACAGACGTCTTCGCTGAGAAGGATTCATAAGAACTGACTTAATTTTTTTAACACAGAGACATTTACAGGATTCATTCATCATGGATTTGTAGACCGCTGGTAGTCTGTTTGTGTTCCTACCCAGCRTGGAGGAGGAGGGACAGCCACAGTCTGTAAAACTGATCGGGAACATCAGGGTTCAGGAAAGGCAGCAAGCCGCACACATCATCCAGACAGTGGACCTGCATCAGAATACTGTGCTCAGTAATATGCTACAACACCAAAACACACAAACACACACATATATTACCTGTGAGCARAGCGTGGCCTCCTCGTGGAAGTAACCGTGCATGAAAGAGCAATACTCTCTGGTTGTGATCTCACATCTACACAGCAGGAACAGAACAAAAGAAAATCGGTATTTACTGCAACCTGAGAGCGACACGACAGCCGAGGAGGCACGTGATCAAAAGAGATGTCTGCAAATTATTCCCACCTGCCCTTAGTTCCTATGCAGCAGGGTCTCCCCTTGATTTGACAGTCCATGTGTCTGTAGCCAGTGTAGTTCCAGTCTTTTGGATACGTGCAGACCTGCCACAGGAGAAGTGATGAGCAGCGTAACCCTCACACACACCTATACAAATATCTACTTTGTTTAATTAAAAAATGAGGAAGAAGTCTCACCGGCCACTTGGTGATGTCGTCAGGCCACGTATGAGGCTCTGCAGAGGCCGGCTCCTCACACACTCTGTTCACACGAAGGAAGGYGTCAGTTTCAATGGACACGATGCTTTACCAACTTCAAAATACTGCAAGTGTGCAGCGTTTCTGTGAAACGGTAAAGTTTCACTGCAACCAGGCGGAACGAGCGCATCTCACCTGGGGTCCTGATGACAGACGGAGCCAGAAGACCTGAGGATGTCCACGTGTTCATTTTCCCACTTCATGAAGGTGGCCAGGGTCTCCTGCATGAAGTTATTGGAAAATTACCCAGAGAATCATTCTTCAGCAAACAGGATCACAGGGTAGGTTCAGTTTTATTTTTTTATTTGTTGTGTGTTTTATTCTACATACCGAGCAGTCATCTCTGAGGGTCTGCACGCAGCCGGAGTTGTCGTTCTGAATGCAGCAACCCGAGTCTCTTTCCAGGTCTCTGGCTTTCTGGATCAGGTTGACGATCTGTTTGTCCTGACGCATGCAGGGGGAGAACTTTGCCCCTAAGTGGATCAGATCCTCCTGGAAGTTAAAAGAAAAGAAAAAAAAACATCAAGACAAAAAAATACCTATGTCCTGATGGATAAAATATAAAGTCAGTTTTATTACAGTCATCTCATGGTGTTTTATGACCCAGAGTGAAATCCCAACCCCATATTTGATTAAAAAAATCAAGAAAAAGTCCTCAGTTTGTGAGTAAATGTGACTTGGCCAAATCTTAAATCATTCTTTATGCAATAGAATAAAGCTGTTTCATTGTTTTCAGTATCAAAATCAACTTTAGATATTGATTACATAAAACAAACCCATGATCTTGYATGTTTTGGTTTTTAATTTACTATAACCAGCCATTACTAGTCATAAATCTGCATGAGAGGATGATAATATCTGAGGGAAACAGCTGTCTCTACATGACAGGATGTGATCCAGTACAATTCAAAATAAAAACTGTAGGTTTTGATGAGCATCTTGTATCCATGTTAACCACTTATTTCAGCAGAATACTGTGAGCAAGTTTCAGGTTATTTTAACTGAAGAGTAAAAAAATATGTAAGGTAATACAGCAGCTGCACTGAGAGCTGCAGGAAACTCACGGAGCTYGGACCGATCCAGAAGTTCTCCTGTTGGACAAACTTGACACTTTCATAAATGCCTTTGTTCCTCAGCACCTGCAGAGGGCGACAGAGCAGCACAATTACTCACATACACACTTGATTAATAAGAAACATGAAAAACCTTTGAAAACATTGATAGGACAGGAAATCCTACACATTGTTGAACAACACACTTTAGTATTTATCCAGATCTACTGTGAGAACAAACTTTCAAAGTCAGAGTTTCACTCACCAGTTCAGTTTTGGAGTTTTGTGAAAAACCTACAGGAGCAAAACCATACGTGCCACAGGCCAGCAGTGTGATGAGTACATGAACAAACGTAATCCAGTAGGTAAAGTAGGGCCTGAAACCACAAAACAGAGAAAAATCACAGTACATCACTGGTGAAGAAGCAGCCATTACATGCAGCAACTCAGCTTTCTATAGTATTCTCTTTAAACAGTGTATTGTGTAAAAGTGGGAGTAAAGTATTGCAAAATAAAGGGGGTGTAATTATGCTGGCTACTGTTTACACTCAAAAAGAGCTGCATCCTGGAGAAACTTCAGAGGAGACATCAAGGACTGAAAGGCTGGTGCTAAAAGACACAAAAAGGGAGGAGGAAGGTGGAACTGAGGGCCACTTTTAGACTAAAAGGTTTTCTATTTTTATTCACAAGTGGTGTAACCCTGACCACGGGATCGAGATTGCACCAAAGACATCGAACTCCCGGCAACAAGCAACAGACCGTATTACCTGCTCAGGGATTTCTCAGCAGCAATTGCTATCGTTGTTTACATTCCTGTGTTGCACAATCTGAGACAGCTTGTGATGTTAAACAGCACCTGCCTATGAAGAGACTTTAACCACAGTGTCCAACACACTGCTCATGTTCACACAGTTTGTTAACAATGAGAAAGAGTCACTGTATTTTGATAGAAAAGGACTAAATTAGAGCCCATTTTCTTTCAGAGGACAGAGGTGTACAGCTGGACAACAAGCTGGACTCGTCCTTCCACATGAAGACAACCTACATTTCTGAAGTCTTAACTGTGGACTGTAACAGTCAATGGCTTTTTTTTAACAGTGAGGGTCAGGGTGTTTGCATGTCAGATAAATAAAAAAATAATAATTAATCAAATCAAATAGAAAAGATGCATCTTTAGATTAACACACAACTAGACTGAGCAGGCGGCTGAAGGAATCCTGAACAGAAAAGATGAGCTAAAGGCAGGGGCAGACTGGGGAGAAAAAGAGGCCCGGGAGTTCCTAACAGACTGGCCCACTTTCAACTACCGGGTTTAAGTAACTCAGACTTGAACATGATTTAGTTTAAACATTAACATTTTCAAATAAATCATTTGTTTGAGATCTACAGTGTGCACCAGTGAAGCTAAAGGCATGTCTTTGGTCTGTGGGATGAAACTGGAGTACTGGGGGGAAATTCATGCAGAGGGAGAACATGTAAACACCACCCAGAAAGGCAGGTTGGGATTTGACCCAGCAACCATTTTGCTGAGAAACAACAGCTCTAGATCAGAGAGACAGACAGGGAGTTACTGTACATGTGGTCCATAAGTCCAGTTCACAGCTGGCCGGGCTCTGAGCTGATCAGCTGACTGACAAAGCGTCCATAAATGAGGAGTAGGGAGTGAGAACCAGTTGGACTAGAGTCACTTTAACGCCGCAAAGACTGAGCGCCGCGCACCCTTTAAATAGTTTGTTCGTCACGCTTTTGCTCTCCTATTTACATTTCACGTGTTAGAAAGTGTACTGCCACGTGTCCTTTTGGAGAAATCTACAACAAAGTAAGCACCAAATATAAACATCTCCACCGCTGGCGAGGGTGTGAGCTCGCCCTTTGCGAGTACCCAAAGCAAGACTATAAACTAACTCAGCCTTTATAGAGGCATCGTGGCACCGTAAAACAAGTGCGCACTGCGGTGACCATGGGGCTGAGTGAGGCAGCACCTCTACGGGCCMAACCACCCATAACACATCGGCCCACAGGGAAAACCCCCGTTAGACTTGTATGCCAGTCCACCCCTGGCTAAAGGCTAGTTGGACTGCAGAAACCCTGTWAAATTTCTGAAACTTTGGGCTGTTTCAAAAAATGCAGCAAATCCACTTTAGTCTCAGCTTTTAGCTCATCAAACTGGTCRGAACTGAACTCTATTTCTCCACACAAAGAGCTCCAACAGCAGATAAGATAATTATTGTTTGCAACATTTCACAAAACCCCCACTTCAAAAGACGTAAAGTTTAAGAGTGTGTTTACCCATCAGTCAGTCTGTGTGACCAGCTGTTAGTTCTCCTGACCTGTGGCTGTGGAAGTCATCCAGCTGCTTCTGGATGTTGCTGCTGAGGCTGCGGCGGTAGTTCCGGTTCAACCACTTCCCCACAACTCCCATTCCGTACTGACGCTTGTGTTTGTCAAAYGCAAAGTGCTTCACTTGGGAGGCGATGCGGCGACCACGGCGAGGGTGGGKTTTTTCAGGCGCCTTGGAGGGCGTCTTGGGAGTCAGAGACACGTCCTTACTGRGGAGATAAATAGAGCCCAGTGGCAGAAAGCATGAAATAACTAAATATTCTGATAGAAACAGCGAATTAAAGAAGCTGTAACGCGATGTTTACTCACAGGCTGGGGAATTTCTGATCCGGCTGCGCAGACGGAGCGATGGAGGCAGACAAAGGAGGTGATTCAAAAACATCATCGGCCATAGAGTACATCTCATCATGGACATCACCCTGCACAGAGAAGGTGGACAGAAAGTAAAACACCAARAGCAGTTTTTGTRTGAYTGCAGACTGAAAGATTGGAGCAAAAGAAAGAAGYTGAAGTTGGAAGCTGATGCCAAAGCACCAACGGAGCGGCTGCTGACCTTGCTAAAGAACAATGACACTGATGCRTCTGCAGAGTCCACCGTGTCCTCGTCCATCCAGCTGGGCCTCACAAAGCTCCTCCGAGGGAAACTGCGACCCACCTGCGAGCCCGCCAAACCACTGCGACCCTGGACAACAACCCCCCCAAACACAAAACACAAGGGGATTGGACACGAGCAGTAAAGTTTTTTATCTGAATGCTCATTTTGAATTGTCATTTTTCCAAATATTTCTTGCAATCTCTCTACTTCTGCAAACTTTGTGCCATTTTAATCATTCATAACAGAAAATGTTCAGCTCTGATGAGTGCCAACTTTTTTTTTCATTTTAAACTACTTAACTTTATTTACAAATATTTCCTCCCATAGAAATACACTGATATCTCTTTATTTCCCTCAGGAATGTTTGTTTTTATGGTTAATGGTTTATAGTTAATAATATTTAATAGCTTCATCTGTACCATTTTATATTCTTTTAACCATTTATACTGCAAAACATTTGGCTCTATCAGGAATAGTGCGCAGTGACTTTACTTTGTGGATTGTTTAACTTTTAAAATAAAATAAAAAATCTTTCCCCATAAGAGTGCCTTAAAAACATTGTTCTTTAAAATCTACTTCAGCATATTTGCTCAATTTTTGTCTTTAGTTACTGTCTTGCTAATTTAATCAGATTTGAGCTTCTGTGCTGCATTTATTTTTTATTTTTTAGTTTGACTCATTCTTCAACAAATTCCAGCAAAGTCGTCAGAAACTATGCAATTTCTCTTGTTTTTAATCCTATAGCTCATATCATAAAGCAGCATCTTTGGTTTGGGAGTGATTTTCCTGAACTAAATAAAGTTCTGTCACATCTGCCAACCTGGTTCATCTTCCTACATCAGTGTTTTGATTTCCAGCTCACCCGCAGCAGGTTGGACGCAGCTCTGATGCTCATGCGTGCGACAGACTCCCTCTTTCGTGGGGGCAGGCGGGTGTACCCTGAGCGCTGGCTGGTGAAGGAGCTGAGTGAGGTGACCCCTGGTGTGGCGGGAAAACCCAGGGCAGTGTGAGGTGTCCTGGGGGAGCGACTGTCCATCTCATCTGGGCAACGGAAAGCTCGACCCCTGGCCAGGGGRTCTACAATCTGAAGACAGAGTAGGGTCAAACTGATGGAAGCGCCTTATACCACCGACACCCAAGGACATGGTAATAATTGGACTCTTACTTTGGGAAACTTGGGGGCGGCTGGTGAATCCAGACCCTGGTCGAAGCTCAAGGCTGACTCGGGCTCTCTGTATTGGGCCTTGAGCTTGCCGTAGCGCTGGCTGCAGTGGCGCAAGCTCTTCCTGTGCCATACCTGCTGCTTCGTCTCACAGTCTTCACCAACTCCAAACCACTCGGCTGCATTCCTACAGCAATACAGAGTTCAGACAACTTAAATTAGGCCCAAATGCTACTTACACAGCATGAGTTTTAACAGTATTAAAGATTAGTTTTATTATTTGATGCATTTTGAATCCTCAAACACGGTGAATTATTAAATATTATTACAAAGCATTAAATGTCTTTAAGTTTTCTGTCTGAGAGCTTGATGATGAATTTCTGTTCCTCAAAATGACGGATTGAACTTCATTCAACCACAAATTAGGCAACATCAGGAAGAGAAAGCAGATGCAGCTGTARCTTACTTGCGAATGCTCTGTGAAAGAGACGTTTGTCTACCAAACTTCCCCCTTCTGTCTCTGGCTGTGTTTCCTCCATCTCCATTCAGGCTCTCAGATGTGGAACCGGTTGCTTGACCGCTTACGGTCTTCTTCAGGGACGGTCGAAGAGGCTTTTACCACAAGGGAAGAGAGTCGAGAATCAGTCAAAACATAAAAATATTTTTTCCTACTGAAGCAAACCACTCAAGAGATTACAGCTAAAGAAGTGTAGATATTTTTATGTTTTAACACATTTGATGGTTATTTATTCTTAAGTACCATATATTCTAACATATGTTTTCTTATTTACACCGTACTCACTGASTCTTGTTTACACTTGTGAGAGATGTTGTTGCCAATAATAAGCTCCAACACATGCACGAGTTCACACTACATTTGCACATTAATTGCACCACTTTAGGAAGTAGTTTAACGGTAGCAAGCTGGCCTCAACTCATTACAGAGCACTTTGTGTAGCCGAGAGCCACAGCTTGGGTTCTGAACTCAGGGGCCCAGCAAGGAAAATGCTCTGTCTCGTATTCACTAACTGCTGGACAGCATTTTTTTTCACCTGAACTCAAAGGTCAGAAAAATACAACACAACCACAATAATGAGTGTTTAACTGCACCATGTTTATTTATGTCTGTCACCACATGTTTGAACTTTGAATTTCAAGAGCTACAGAATGGAAAACATGTAATTAACACATTTAAAAAGTTGAATGAACTTTATAAATGAATTACTTTTATTATTAGCAGCTTTCTCACAAGTGCATTTTGTACCAACGTTATTGTTAGGAGGGATTTCTCATGGTTTCAACTCTTTTGATGAATAAATACATTTTGAAACAAACACTACTAAACTTCTTTTGAGCCCCTTTATTCTGTTTTTTTTTTCATCCAAACATAAATATTAAAGTATATACCTTTTTATGTTAGGTTATTGTACCATCCTCCTCAAAAATATCATTAATACAGAATCCATCATATTTAAAGCTTTGCGTGGTAATTTCAAACACCTACCATTAACTTATGACTTTTATATTAAACCTACAAGTTTAAAGACTTTAAGGTTTGTTTTCTCCTATTTTTGACATCGCTTTTTGTTGACTCCAGTTTGTTTCACACATCTACATTTATTAAATTGTGTTTAGCTGGTCTTCTCAATAACTCATTGATTTTAGATGTAAGTTAAACTCTACGAGATGACTGAGACAAATCAAGTCACAGCTATAATAAAAACAGATCTGTTGGACTTTATTTGAAACTTTTTAAAAGCTTCACCTTCACAGACTGAATTGTAAAGAACGGCACAGGAAACAGCAACCTGGTTGAGATAAATCGTCCGATTTACCCGTTTGTCGTGATCAATGGACGTCATGTCCTCGGGCGGAGGGATGGCGATGACGAGGCTGGGGGGCTTCTTGCTCTTTAGACGACTATCTGTTTGGGATCCATTTGGAGGAGGCTCCTCCCCTTCCTGTGAGTCCATCCTGTCAAAGTGCTGCAGAGAGAGAAACATTTCAAGGTTAGAAATAAATGTATTTGCAGCTGTAAACATACACACACATTTCGGACAGCATAAAAATTACAAGAAATAATGCAAAACTTCAAGTTTTTACCACATCAATGTGTTTTATTCACCACTTTTTATTTAAAAAAACTTGGCACCATATGTAGAACTGAATAAATTTAATTTTGATATTAGTTTAAGGCTTAAGGGGCTGTATTTATTAGCAAAAAAATCCAGTGGGTTTATATGACATTACATATAATCCAATACGGATTAGTAAAATTCACATTTAAATCCAATACATTGAATTAAATCCAAACATAATACAATGTGGCATCAACATTAGGCAGCAGCTTCTCACAATCCTGCGAGGAAAAGCAGGTATGTAAAATATGTGAAGATACACAGACGGATGAATATAAAAACTATTTAATATCATCACGAAATTAAAAATAATAAAAGAAAACCTGTGTAGCTCCTCATATTCTAAATTAAAAAGTGACAGACCAGCTGTTTAACTGGGGATTTGTGACATCAGACGGCATCAGATGACAAAAAAATCCATAATGCTGGTGTTGGTCACGCGTGGCCAGTAATCAATATCTTTTTACGTCTTTTCTTTTAAAACAGTGTTGAATTCACTGTAACTAACTCTGTGCAAAATTGATTCAGCAGTGCAGCTTCTTCATGCAAACTGTAGGTCCAAATGTATGTTTGATAATCTTATTTTTTTCCAGGATTATTGTAGTCAAAACCATCAATTCTTACTATTAGTAATAATTAAAGTCAAGTTATTTAAACTGTGTCACATGAACATATACTGTTCCCATTGAACATCACAAATAATATAGTTTGAGTTATTATAAGTGACTTTAATGTAATTAGGCTTGTTAATCTGTTTACAGAGTGACTGAATAATAATAAACTTACTTCTCATAGACAGTAACCWATCAAATCCAGCAGTGGAGCAAACAGAAAGTCTATTCCTGGAGCTCAGACTGCATCGTGGCATTAACAGTATTTTCAGAAAAATCCAAACCAAGGCAGACACGAAGCCCTGAGATCACAAACCCGGGCCAAAACATCCATTACATTCTTGAAAGCCTTCGGTGTCGTCCCGGAGTTGTGGTTTCTAAAAATCGATGCAGGCCAGGGTGCCTGCGACAGAGTCGGCAGCGGAGTGGAAATCTGACACCGGTTCAGTTAATAGCATGGCTTCCACCACAGAGCTGAGGAATGGTTACACGAGGGCTGACCATATTGTCCCCGACACTTCTGACCCCAAAGACACAGCTTTTAACCCCCCCAGCATCAGTGTACATTTTATATCTACGAGGATCATTTTCAATTAGACCTGTTGAATAATTTAATGTTGGGAGGGTTGCTTGATTTGAGTTTTCTAGAGACAGGGAGACGACTGAACCCAGTTTGTGGTTCAGACGAGCAGCGGACAGAGGCTGAACACCCCCCCCCACCCTAACCCTCCACTTAGATAATGAAATAGCAAAGAATTTGGCTAATGGACAGAGCGCTCAAGTGGCAGAAAGACTGCTGCGGACCACGGTTCATCAATTTAAACACCCCAGAGGCTTTATTTAGGCTCCACACAGAGAAACCTATAGGATACATACTGTAAACTGCATTTCCTAGTGATCTCTTGGCAGCTAAACATATACATTTAGAACAAARCGTAAGTCAATTTGTGTTTGGTAGGTTATTTCTTTGTTGTAACGATGCTTCTTGGAAATAAATCTTATATATGAGGCACCTGATGGGCAGCATTTGAAACCAGAAGCTCAAAAAAAGAGTCAACAGCAAAATAAGCCGTTTGGCAGAGATTTGGCTCATTTTTCAGGTGTGCAACCCACAGACTCAGCTCTACTGCTCATCCCACAAATGCATGTTCCTCACAAATGTGGCACCGTTTAAAAATGGAAATTGACAAGCTTTCCAACAGTAATAAGATTTATTGCCAAAAAGAAATAATCTACAAACACAAATTTACTTATTTTTTGTGCTGAGTTTGAAAAGTATAAAAAGATAAGGCCACAATCTTAGAGCAAAGCATTGATCTCAAATTATGTTGAGACATCTTACACTGACATTTTCTGAATGTTTTTAATTAACCCTAAAAGTGCAGGCATTAAATCCAACTTCTGAAGCCATATCTTCATTTAAAACAAAACAAAGTTGTATATATGTTTGTTACTTCCTGTCTATACTACTGTAAACTCATGTATGTTAGTTTAGTTAAAGGGGCAATATCATGTAAAATCAACTTTGAGTTTTATATCATGTTATAATGTTATACTCTCATAAAAAACATGCCCAAAGCCTTGCTTTGACTCATTCATGCATGTTAGGCAGCCAAGCTGAGGATCAAAACGACAGGTGGGGACCAGAAACGYCYYTGGGACGTGTCTTTAAGCCGAACTTCCTCATRGCAGAGYGCACCCCCTTCCCACACACCCCGCCCATGACTCCTGCAGGCTCTCGGGTGAAAGTGAAAGTGAAACCTAACTGTCTGCTGAGCCCAATTTTAAGGCGTTTAGAAGAGGAAGTGATGAGAAAATAAGTTTATTTTCTATTTAAACATAAAAAACAGCATTTTAATAACAGCTAAAGGTGACATATATACTTTATTATGGTATAGTATTTAAATATATGCCTGAGAAACACATAATATTGCCCCTTTAAGGCCATCTCTGCATCCAATTACAAATTGTCCAAAAGACAGCTCGTCTCCTGATGGTACAAATACAGACATAACCACAGTTTAACCCCTTTTATATGCATATACAATAAAAGTGAGAGTGCTGTTAATAAAGTCTTTAAAGAAATGTGATTTTTGAGGAGTTACAGTTCAGACACCGTGTTGTAAAATGAGCTGAGTGCAATCGTCTCAGATTCAGTGTTGCCTTGACAACAGAAACAAAAAAAAAGTGAGTAAAAGGTTGAAGTTGGCCTCCTATAAAAAAAACAATAAAAGACTGTAAGGATTACGTTTCACTGAAGCACAAAAGACTAAATAAAAACACACTTAATCCCTAACTGCTGGGTTCAAATCTGTCTTCAACTTTTCTGATGCCTTTTCTCAGTGTTACAGGATCAACACGCGTGTCCAGGCCTGCAGAGAAAAAATCAAATCTAGATCCCTTTAATCCTCGTACCAATCTTAATGATTTAAAACGAGCAATGAATTACCCTAATCTGATGCATCCTTTCTTATAAAGCGCATAACTGGACATTAAAGTTATTGAAAATCAATACWGATCGTGTTTGACTTTTCAGTGACCCTAACAGGAAAACATTTGTTCAAACCGTCTCTCAAGCAACTATCAGTGCATCAAAGAACAACCAACCACAGAGAAAACTCATCTTTGTGCTCCCCTGATCTCACCTAAATGTTACYGTGCGCTCTTAATAATTAGCACGTCTGCACGGACGAGTGTTCTCACATCTTTGTGGGATGTGATGTYGAGGTTTTTATCCATGGTTCAGTCTCTTCCTGCAGGGAGGGGTCTGACCACAAAATGTGTCAGTTTCTTTATGATAATAAAGCCTTAATATTCCTGAAAATCAGACAACACACTTGATTTTGTTCATCTAGCTGAACAGTTCAAACAAGGATTTCTTTAGAATAAGGAGGAAAAATATTCTGCTTCAGTTTCAACCATGTCTTTCCAGCTTATTAAATGAATATAAAGTGAGACATTTGAATAGTGCATGCCTGTAAAAACTCCACAATCGTTCACTGTATGCACCTTATTGTTAAATTATTATGTGGAGGATAAAAGCATAAGATTACAAATTTTCTAAGAATATTTATTAAAATAACAAAATCCAATAAGAATCAAGATGATGTCTTTTCTGAGGCAACAAATGTCTTCCATTCGCTGTGTATTTTTGGCATTGTTCACACATCTAAACCAAGGGAATAGAATCAACACTATCCGCCTTCACAGCAGTAAACAACACACTCCTCGTCTTACTGCTTACTGTGCGGAGAAAGAAAAAAAAAAACAGGGCTTTGTGGACCGKGTTGTTGTGGCTGCCAAGTTCAGTCCTTTTGTCTACTTTCCATTTTAGGCATCGACTCGGCCACAAAGCTCTCTGTTAGTCGAGATGGGTTCACGCTCACTTCACAGGTGAAACTGGATAGCTGCRGGGTTGAGTCCTGAAAAATAAGCCTGAAAACTGCTGCAAACAAATGGGGACAAAGAGGAAATGAATGAAGAAGGATTTGAAAGCAGACTGTAATGAATATTTATCATCAGACAGTTGAGCAAACCTTTTTGTCCACCATTTAGCTACAGCGGGTCACAAAAGTATCCCCCCACCCTCTTGGGAATTCTCTCCATTCTGTTGTAGATTCAGTTTATATTCCACCCTGAAATATAAACTGAATTTTGGACGTCAGTATATTCCCATCTAAACTATCAGGGCTATCTTTGGCCTCCTGGTTGTTTCTCTAAGTTTTGATGGACAACCCTCGCTTGGCAGCTTTGCTCAAGGTGAAATCTCTGCATTTTCTAAAAACAGATTTGATGGAGCAGAATATGGATTTTTATTTATTTGCTTTGTGCTTCACAACACTCTAAACTGTGTGGAGGGTCTTCATGCAGTCTCTTGCCTGTTGGTTGCTTTTACTACAAGGATGGGCAACTGATGGCCCATGGGTAACATCCGGCCCGAGGGTGACTTCCGTGCGGCCAGCCAATAAACCCCAACCCACAATAATAA